GCCGTGGGCCACCCAGGCCCTCTATGCACAACAGCTCTGGGAGGACCTGGCCAGTCCTGGGCCTAGAATCCGCCTTGCACTGTGCAGTGCCACTGAGATGTTCCCCCAACGAGAGCCCATCCGACTAGATAATCCTTTGCCTTGGCTCACCCTATAATGGGGGCCCCCACCTGCCTGTCTCCCTCGGTATTGGACGCATTCGCTCCCTTCCACTTGCGGCTGTCGGGTGAAGAACAGTGGAAGGCTGCAGCGACGGAGGGCACCTTCCCCTTCTGGAAGCTCCCCGGCTTGTGGCTCCCACGCACCCGGGCTCTCTCCCGTTAGTCCAGTCCCGTTATTCTGGCCCATAGTCAAGTTTCCCAAATACCCCCAGAATGTCTTTGTGACTTGTTTTTAAATCCAGGCTCCAGCTATGGTCCGTGCCCTGCATGTGGTGGAAAGCCAGCCGGCTGTGCCGGTGTGTGAGGCCGAGTTAGACGTGGCGGAGCGCACTGAGCAGACTGAAAGGCAAAGAGCAGCACAGAGGGACCCAAGTCAGAGCCACTTGGGGAATCCAGGGAAAGGTGGGAGCTTCCTGATGAAGGGTGGTGACAGTGACGGCACAACAGACGACAGAGGTGCCACTTCCAGGGCGGAGGGAAGGAAGAGCCAAGCTGACTGGAGTGACGGGCCAATTGGGTGGGAAGACACTCGGCCGTCATGAGTTTCAGACGGCAGCGAAATACTTAGACGCCCGCCAATGACCTGTGCTTGTGCACGACCGGGGTCTCGTTGAGCTGCACAACCTCCACTGGCCTTCATCGCTTTAAGACGGGGATGTTATAATGTTAAAAAAGAGGCCACAGATAGCCTTAATTCCACGGAATTAACTTTTCCCCTTCTTTAAACTCTTACGTACTCAACTGTGTTTTCTAACTAGGAGGAAGCCTCCCTTAGAACACGGGTGTCTGGGCTTTTTCTTGCTTCAACTGGACAGCCGGTCCCTGCACGGTGCGAAAAGGTGTGTGTCTTCTGTCCCAGAGTGCCCTGGTGCAGGGCCGTGGTCGGCTGCTGCTGCTTTCCCAAGGGTATTCTAACCCAAGGACAGAGCTGAGCGCCAGGTGGGGCCTGCCAAGAATGTCTTACCGAAGACGAACCCAGGGCCAACCTGGTGAGACGGACAGGAAGCTCATTAGCAGAAGAAGCCGGAGCTGTTCTCAGCAGAGGGTCTGAAGACACAGCCAGGAAGTCATGAGGGGCCTTCTGCTCAGAAGGAGCAGAGGGTAGGAGCAAGGAGAACCCCGCTGTGTGCTGATTCAGTTGCTTCTGAAGCGCAGAGTGTCTATGTGCTTTCACTATGTCAAAGGCAGCACTTTGGAACAGAGGGAAATAGATACTCTGAAAACTCTTCAGTCCTGATGAAACCTAGAACAAGTTGCTAGTCGGCCAAATGGCCAAAGGGGAAGCTCTGAAATCATCAAAACAATCAAAATGGTAACCGTGACCTCTCTGATCCTGCAGACTCTGCCCAGAGTAGAAACACACACACACACACACAAGCATTTCAGTGGTACACGACACTGGTTGTGAGCCCAGAAGAGATGCATGAGAATCTGAACCTAAAGTTTCCAGTGACTTAGTCCAAAAGTATTAGGGTATTTTGATAATATGCCAAAAAGGGGAGGAAAGGGCCGAGACATTAGATTTCTGCGCCTTTGAAACTCTAGAATTAGTAGTCTCTGCCTGGCATGAAGACATTGGACACCTCTGCTCCAATCCTGGGTCACTGCTCTGACCCCCCCTTCATTTATCAATGCACCCCTCTGATCCCCACAATGCATGTCATCAGCACCTAGCAAGTGAGAAAAGCAACCATCTTGTCCTTTCAACAGAGATTCAACACTTCACATGCTGCTTACAAAGCAGATCGTGCCACAAAACCCAAAACTTTTCTCTAGTGTTCTTGAAAAATAAAAGACACATTCCAGCCCAGTAAATGCTTTGGATGTGAAAAATTCAGAGAAATTCCCCTGAGCATACTAGATAATTCAGGAACTTAGAAACTAAAAGTAGTTACATTTTATGCATAACGAAATAAATGTGTTGCTGACAAGACTTCTTAACAAAATATTTATACATTGACTCACATCTGAGCTATGTCAGGAGCCGTCCCCATTGAAAAGAACCCAGTGAAAGCCTCCATAGAGTGGACCCGCTCAAAGGGGGGCCCCGGACCTCAGAATTAAGCTCCCTGTTTCAGGCCACTGTTTCGAAACACATTTTTACTATTCCTGGAAGCGCTTGCGCATTTTTGTCAGATGTTGAGTGAGCAACCGGGTAAATAACATTTCAAAAGCATTTTTTGAGCAGTAAAACCTTAAGTTCCTTGCTGAAGGGGCTGGTCCAAAATAAATGAAATTCTGGTGT